GATGCCGTGCTCGAGGCACCGCTCGAGCGCGTACGCGCGGTGCACGGACGCGAAGAGCACGAGCACGCGGCGCGCGCCCATGATCGTGCCGACGCCCACGGTGAGCGCCACGGACGGCACGTCCCCGACGGGGCACTGCCAGCGCTCCGCGAGCTGCGACTTCGTGTCGTGGGCTAAAGTTTTGGGCCGCGTCCGCGACTTGAGCGAGGACCCGGGCTCGTTGCGCGCGACGTGGCCGTCGCCGCCCGTGGAGCAGAAGACGAGGTCGAAGCCGCCCGCCGCGGCGATCTTCGCCTCGTAGGCCGCGCACTCGTCGGCCCAGGCCTCGCGGTCCACGCCGCCGTCGAGGACGTGGAGGTTCTCGCGCTTGATGTTCACTTGCGAGGCGAAGTTGGCGTAGATGTAGTGGTGGTGGCTCCGCGCGTCGGCGACGTCGACGCCGCAGTACTCGTCGAGCACGAAGCCGACGACGTGGGCGAAGTCGACCTCGCCGCGCTTGTGCATCGTCGCGAGCGTCGCGTAGGTCTGGAGCATCGTGTTGCCCACGGGCAGCCCCAGCACGCAGGGCCTGCCCGCCTTCTTCGCCGCGTTGATCGCCGCCGCGACCTGCGACGCCGCGTAGCCCGCCAGCGAGTGCACGTCGTCGCGGATCACGAGCTTCATATCGCGGATGATGAGGGGCTGTGCTTCTCTCGTTCAAGAAGGGTGTTCAAGGAGGCGTCGTTGAACCCCTCCGGCAAACGAAGCCGCGGCTCGGCACATCACCGACAGCGTTGGCAGCAACCACTGCCTGCCAGAGCTGCATGTTGGCGTCGCGCCTGTCCCGGCAGCTGCTGTCGCGCGTCTCGGCGCGGAGGCTCAGCGGCGAGGCCATGCAGCTCAAGGTGGGCATCGTCGGCGCCGGCGCCGTCGGCACCTATTTCGGCGTGCGCCTCGCGGAGCTGGGCCACGACGTGCGGTTCCTGCTGAACCCCGGCGAGGCGCCGCCGAAGGCGCTCACGGTCAACTCCTGGCAGGGCGACTTCGAGCTCGACGCGCCGACCTACGCGTCGTCGCCCGGCGAGCTCGCGGCGGCGGGCGAGGCGCTCGACTGGGTGCTCGTGGGCCTCAAGTCGACGGCGCTCGACGGCGACGGCGCGGGCCAGATGGCGAGGCTCGTCGGCCCCGCCGTCGGCGACGGCACGCGCGTCCAGCTGCTCATGAACGGCCTCGGCGCCGAGGAGCTCGCGGCGGACGCGTTCGGCGCGTCGAAAATCCACGGCGGCCTCGTCTACGGCGGCTTCGGCCGGCCGGCGCCGGACGCCGTGCTCCACGAGGGCATGGCCACGGAGCTGCGGGGCGGCTCCTTCGTCGACGACCCGGCGGAGATCGCCGCCGCGGAGCGGCTCTGGAGCCCCGCGGCCGGCGGCGCCCCGCCGCCGGGCGCGATTGTGTACGCGCCCCAGCCGTGCCTGCGCCTCGCCCAGTGGTCCAAGCTCGCCTGGAACATCCCCTTCAACGGCGCGACGGTGTGCTCGAACTCGAACGTCGGGACGCTCTGGCGGAGCGACGGCGGCAAGGCCGCGGCGATCGGCCTCATGCGCGAGGTCATCCGGGCCGCGAACGCGGATCTGGCGCACGCGGGCGCGGAGCCGCGCCTCGACGAGGAGGCGACGGTCGACGCGCTCTGCGCCATCACGGACAAGATGGCCGAGCAGGACTACGTCCCCTCGACGACCTGCGACTTCCTCTCGGGAAACCGCATGGAGGTCGAGGCCATCTTCAAGGAGCCGCTCCGCCGCGCGACGAAGCTCGGCGTCGACGCGCCGCGCCTCCACATGCTCGCGGCCCTCCTCGACATCATCAACGAGAAGCAGTAGGACGGGGGTAACAACTTCGGGCGCATCATCAACGAGAAGCAGCAGAACAGGGGTAACAAGGGGCGCGCCGGACGTTCTAGGCGCCGCGCTTCGTGACGGTGAACGAGTGGATGACCGCGCCAGTGTAGTCGTAGAAGTCGGTCGTGAGCTCCTTCAGGTCCGCGGAGAACGTGTGGAGCGTGAAGCCCGCGACCTTGGAGTTCCAGACGGTCTTGTAGGAATGGCGGCCGCCGTCCGCGATGGGATCGCCGCCGTTCCGCTTCTCCGGCACGGAGCCCTGGTCCTGGTCGTGCGTCGCGACCATGGAGCCGGCGCCCGTGGTAACGTAGGCGCCGGCGCCGTCGACGGTGTACTGCGTGAGCGTGTGCACGTGGCCGTTGAGGTAGAGGTCGAAGCCGTGGGTCTGCATCGCGCCGACGATATCCACGACGTCGACGTCGTCCGCGGGCGAGTGGCCGACGACGACGAGCCAGTCGTCCGCGGGGACGGCCGCGAGCGCCTTTTGGAACCAGGCGAACTGCGCCTGGCAGTCCTGCGTCGCGACGTTCGCGTGAAAGTTCGCACTTTCCCTTCGAAGTCGTCGTTGCCGTCGTTCAAGGAGCACGTCGGGAACTCCGTGGAGCACGGGTCCCACTCCTTGGGGTCGTCGCCGCGGTAGGCCGCGGTGCAGGGCGTCGTGTCGAGCACGATCAGAGACATGTGGCTGCCCGTGCTCCCGATCTCGACGCGCTCCGCGTAGTAGCGGGCCGGCAAGATCCACGTCGGGTACGCGTCGGCGAGCGCGATCTGCGCCGACACGTTGTAGCCGTACTCGTGGTTGCCGAGGCTGTTGTACCAGGGCAGGCGTTTCAGCGCGGGCGTCGAATAGGTGTCGACCCAGTCGGTCTGGACCTGCTTGTCCTGTGCGTCGACGAGGCCGCACCAGTAGAAGTTGTCGCCCGTGTTGACGACGAGCTGCGGACTCGTCGCGGCCGCGACCTTCTCCAGAGCGGCGGCCACGGCGTGCGTCGCCTGCGCGTGCTCGTCTATGGACGCCCCGCCCCAATCGCCGATGCTCAGGAAGGTGTGCGTGGTCGTGTCATTGATGGTCGCTGCTGCGGTGGTCGTGTCGTTGATTGTCGCTGCCGCAGCAGCGACGACGAGGCCACCGATGGTGGCGCGGAGGACCATACTGATTGGATTGCAATTGCGCGCTCTCAGCGAGTTTGAGCGCTGATGAGTCGTTTTTAAACGGCAAACTCACTTCAAGTTCTGCCGCGGTAAAGCTTCATAAAAAAATTGCGGCAGCATGAGCTGACAAAGCGAGCGCGTCGCCGCTTTTGCATGCGCCGCCTCTTCGGCCGCTGACATGCGCCGCCTCCTGCTCGTCGCCGCCGCGCTGCTCGGCGCACGCACGCACAAACATGCGGCGCACATCGCACCCATCGACGTGCCGGAGACGGCGGCGCGCTTCGTCGTCATCACGCAGCCGCGGTCCGGCTCGACGTGGTTCGTCAAGTACAGTCGGCTCTTCGCGCAGTGCCCCGGCGTCGTCACCGCCGGCGAGGTGCTGCACCCGGAGACGTTGGCCGAGGCCGCGCCGCGGATATTGGGCCGCGCGGCCGAGGCGCCGCTGCGCTTCGTCGACTACGTCCGCTACGTGCGCGGCACGTTCGACGAGCTCGGCGCCGGCCGCGGCTGGCGCGGCGAGCTCGCGGCGGCCGTCGGCGAGCCGAACCTCGCGGCGTCGCTGCGGTCGTTCAGCCCCGTGCGGGCCGTGGGCTTTAAGCTCATGTACGCGCAGCTGCCGCTCCACGGGCCCGGCGCGCCCGTCGCCGAGAGCGGCATGCTGCGCAACGTCACCCTCAAGGGCTTCCTCAAGTACGCGGCGCAGTCGAAGATCGCCGTCGTGCACCTCGTGCGGCTGAACCACCTCGAGCGCTTCATCTCGCTCGCGGCCATCGACGCGGACCCGGCCGCGTCCTACCACGCGCCCGACGGCGCGCCGACGGCGCTGAGCCGGAGCGGCGCGCCGGCGAGCCGCGTGACCGTCGACGTGGCGAAGGCGCTGCTCTTCGCGCGCGCGCAGGCGCGGCAGAACCGGCACCTCCAGCACTTTCTGGACGCGTCCTGCGGCAAGTTCGGCGCGACCTGCGTCACCGTGGCCCACGAGCACCTCGTCGGCGACGGCGCGCCGGCCTACTTCCGGGCCGTGCGCAACGCCATCGGCCTCGGGCGCTGCGCGCGCTTCGACGTCGACGCCGCGGCGCCCCGCGGCGCCGGCGACGACGACGACGTCGCGACGCTCGGCCACGGCGGCGTCGACGACGCGTCGGAGTGGGTGCCCTGCGCGGCCCGCGTCGCCAACTGGGGCGAGGTCGCGGCGAGCCGCGAGTTCAACGGGACGCTCTGGCGCGACCTCTGCGAGGGGCGGAACGCCGTGCCGCCGTGGGCCGCGCACGCGGCCGCGCGCCGCGACGCGCGACGGCGGCGGCCCCGCGCTCGCGCGGCGGCGGCCCGGCGTCGACGCCGCCGACCGCCGCCGGGGCGACCACGACGGCGACGCGGAGGACGAGGTCTACGTCGACGACGCCGCGCTGCTCCGCGCGGCCGCGTCCTTCGAGAACAAGGCCAACTTCGTCGCCGCCGACGGGACCCTCAAGGACCGCAGCTTCCGCGCGCGCCTCGGCCCGGCGCGGCCCCGCGGCGGCGACGACGCGGGCGAGCCCCGAAACGACCCGCCGGAGACGTAAGGACCTTCAGGTGCCATCGGACCCCCGGCGGGGCAGCCCGGGGCAGCTCTCGAAGCGCTGTTTCACGGGTTTGGACGCGTCCGCAGCGGACGATGTCGACGCCCGGCGAGTACCAATGGAAGGAGACGGCGGAGAAGGTCATCGTGCGCATCAACCTGCGGGGCTGCAGCGCGAAGAGCGTCGACGTCTACGCCGCCGACGTCTACGCCAAGGTGAGCTACCCGCCGCGCCTCGTGGAGCTGGATCTCATCAACGAGGTCGACGAGGACGGCGCCGTGGCGAAGATCAAGGACGGCCACCTCACGCTGAGCCTCCCGAAGAAGCAGCCCGGCGAGACCTGGGGCGCCCTCGTCCTCGACCGCAAGCAGTTCCAAAAGCGCGAGCTCCTCGAAAGGCGCGCGGAGGCCAAGGCGCGGCGGTCCGCGCGCGAGCAGGAGATCGGCGAGCGCGCCAAGGACCGCAAGCAGGAGGACGACCGCACGGCCCTGCGGAAGCAGATGAAGCTCGACGAGACGGAGCGGTGCACCGTCGAGGAGAAGAAGGCGACGGAGAAGAGCCGCGCGGAGGAGGACATGTACGAGGCCTTTAAAGAGATGAAGGTCAAGGAGGCGAAGCTCAAGGCCGAGGCCGAGCAGGCCAAGCTCCTGGAAGAGGAGGAGGAGGAGGAAGAAGAGGAGGAGGAGAAGGTGCGGGAGGTCGGCGACGACGGCGGCTTCGACCTCGACGGCGCCGCCGAGGAGCCCGCGCCTCCGCCAAAAGTCCCCGCGGCGTCCGCCGACGCCGAGAACGCCCCGGCCGCGGAGAACGTAGCGCCGAAGAAGAAGTCGCGCAAGGCGCGGAAGAAGGCGGCCGCGGCCGTCCGCGGCGGCGGCACGGCCGTCGTCAACGTGAGCCACACGCCGCGCGTGTTCCCGACAGGGCAGCAAAAGAGAGCGAAATTCCCAACTTCAAAGGCTCCGATCTCGGCCGTTTTCCACTCGTTTCGGCTGATTTTTGGACGAGCGATCATCTCTCGGAACGTTCTCGAAGCGTGGATGTGTTTTTCGTAACGCGCGCGCGCGGAACACTCACGTTGAAGCGACGTTGAATCACCCTTTTGCTGCCCAGGTTCCCGACGCCGATGCGCGAGTCCAAGCTCCGGGACGAGAACGAGTGGATCTCGAAGAACCGCACGCACCTCCACAAGAACAAGATGCTCTTCGGCAAGTCCATCGTCGGCACGGACGGCCGCGGCATCGAGGAGTGCGACCCCACCTGGCTCAAGGGCCGCGCGGACCACTTCTACGCGTCGCGCGACTACCGGAGCGCCGAGAGCGCCTACTCGGCGGCCCTCGAGCTCGACCCGGACCAGCACGCCTGCCGCGCGAACCGCGCGGCCTGCTACCTGCGCCTCGAGCGCCACGCGGACTGCGTCGCCGACTGCGCCAAGGCGCTCGAGGGCGACGTCGCCGCGAAGCTCCGGACGAAGATCCTCGCGCGGCGCGGCGCGGCGCGGTGCGGCCTCGGCGCCTACGCGGCGGCGGCGGCGGACTTCGGGGACGCGGCGGCCCTCGCGGACGCGGCGTCGCTCGGCCAGCAGCAGCTCCGCGACGACGCGGCGCGCGCGCGGACGCTGGCGACCGCGTCGGACGCCAAGGCCGCGGGCGACGCGGCGCTCCAGCGCGGCGACGCGGCGAGCGCCGAGGCGTCCTACGGCGCCGCGCTCGACGTCGAGCCGCACTTCGTCTCCGCGCTCGCGAACCGCGCGGCCGCGCGGCTTGCGCGCGACGACGCGTCCGGCGCCGTCGCGGACTGCTCCGCGGCGCTGGCCCTCTTCGAGGGCGCGGACGACGGCGCGCGCGCCGCCGGGCCCGTGCCCCCGGCGGGCAGCGACAAGCGCCGCGCCTGGGTCCTGCGGACGCTCGCGCGGCGCGGCGCGGCGCTGGCGGCGCTCGGCGAGCTCCGCGCGGCCGTCGCCGACTACGAGACGGCCGCGGCCATCGCGCCGGGCGACGAGAAGCTGGCGTCCGACTTGCACGCGCTGAAAGCCAAGGCCGACGCCGCGGAGGCGAGCCCGCCGCCGCCGCCGGCGGAGGCGGACGCCGCGCTCGACTGAGCTCGCCTCCCATAAACCTATCCAAGCCTTCAGGACTCTGACAGGAGGGCCCGGGGTTTTTAGGTCCCATAACACGAGTGAAGGGGCGGGTTTTAGGAGGAGGGTCGGGTGGCGCGGGCTCGGAGCGGTTGCGGTCCTGCCTCGGGCGCGGGAGGGGGAGGGGCGGGGGTGCTCAGAGGTCCTTGCCGATTTGCTGGGACGGCCGGCGGGACACCTGGGCGGCGAAGAGCGGCGGGTGGTCTATGGTCTCCGTCGCGCTCGCGGCGCGGACGCCGTCGGGCCCGGGGTCCTCGTTGAGCTGGAAGCCCATGGCCTCGATCTCCGCGGCGTCGTCCGCGTCGAGCGCCGACGGCGGCTCGTTGAAGTTGAAGCCGACGCCGTCCGGGTCCGCCATGTCGTCGTGGGCCGCCACGGGCACGGCGGCGACGGACGGCGCCGCCGGCGCGGCGAAGGGGTCGCGGGGCGCCCCGAAGGGGTCCGCGGCCGCCGCGTAGGGCGCGGGCGGCGGCGCGTCGAACGCGCCGGGCGCGGCCTGCGGCGGCGACGGCGGCGGCGGCGGCTTCACGGCGGCCTGGTCGTCGACGGGGATGAAGGCCGCGTGCTCCTTGGCCGCGCGGTCGCCGTAGGCGTCGCCGCCGTAGCCGCCGTAGGCGTCGTCCTGCGACTCGCCGCCGTAGCCCTCGACGTCGTCGTCGACGCGGTAGTCGCCCGCGTCGCCCGCCTCGTTGTTGATGGCGTCGAAGCGCTCCTTGCGCGCCTGCTCCTTGGCGCCCTCGCGGTTGTAGAACCAGAAGGCGCCCGCGGCGCCGAGCAGCGCGACGACGACGCAGAGGATGATGATGAGCAGGCCGCCCGACGCCGCGTCCGCCGCCTCGTCGTCGCCGCCCGACGAGCCGCCGCCGGTCGCCTCCGCCTCGGCGGACTCGACGGAGGACGCGTCCCGGAGATCCTCGAGGGAGTTGCCCTCGGGCCCGACGGTCGGGTCCCGCGCCCAGCCAAGGGCCTCGGCGTACGTGGCGATGGACGCCGTGAGGCTCCCGTCCTCCGCCGCGGCCGCGAGCTCGGCGATGAGCGCGTTGAACGCGTCGTCGGCGCTCGCGAAGCCGTAGTCCGCGGGCGTGTCGATGGTCACGGTGAAGGTCGCGCGCGCGACGGAGCCGGCCTCGAGGCGCCGCCGCCGCGCGAGCGTCAGCGACACGTCCCCGACGTCGTCCTCGGAGTCGACCATGGTCAACACCTCCGTCAGGGCGCTCGACATGACGGCCGACGTCGTCGCGGCGTCGTCGACCATGGACTGGGTCACGTTCTCCATGGTGATCTCGCTGCTGACGATCGCGGCGACGTTCGCGTCCGAGTCCGTCGGCGCGGGCGCGTCCACGGTCGCCGCGGTCGGCGCCGGCGCGTCCACGGTCGCCGCGGTCGGCGCGGGCGCGTCCACGGTCGCCGCGGTGGGCGCGGCGACGGGGCTTGCCGTCGGCGCCGGCGCATCGACGGTCGCGGCCGTGGGGGCGGGCGCGTCCACAGTCGCTGCGGTCGGCGCCGGCGCGTCCACAGTCGCCGTGGTGGGCGCGGGCGCGTCCACAGTCGCCGCGGTGGGCGCCGGCGCGTCCACAGTCGCCGCGGTGGGCGCCGGGGCATCGATGGTGGCCGCAGTCGGTGCTGGGGCATCGACGGTCGCCGCGGTCGGCGCCGGCGCGTCGACGGTCGCCGCGGTGGGCGCCGGGGCATCGACGGTCGCGGCAGTCGGGGCCGGCGCGTCGACGGTCGCGGCAGTCGGCGCCGGCGCGTCCACGGTCGCCGCGGTCGGTGACGGGGCGTCGACGGTCGCCGCAGTCGGCGCCGGGGCATCGACGGTCGCCGCAGTCGGTGCCGGGGCATCGACGGTCGCCGCGGTCGGCGCCGGGGCATCGACGGTCGCCGCGGTCGGCGCCGGCGCGTCGACGGTCGCCGCGGTCGGTGCTGGGGCATCGACGGTCGCCGCGGTGGGCGCCGGGGCGTCGACGGTCGCCGCGGTGGGCGCGGCGACGGGGCTCGCCGTCGGCGCCGGCGCGTCGACAAAGCCGGCCGTCGGCGCCGGCGCGTCGACGAATTCGCCGGCCGTCGGCGCCGGCGCGACGCCGTCGCAGGCGTCGCAGGCCGCGGGGCACGCGTCCTCCGCGAGCGAGTCGTCCTCGCCGACGACCGTGCAGCGGTTCGGCGAATATTCGGAGACCCAGGTGCAGTCCTTCCAGGTCGTGCCCTTCTTGTACCAGGACTCGCTGTCGGCGCAATCGGCGCCGGCCGTCGGCGCCGGCGCGTCGACGAACTCGCCGGCCGTCGGGGCGGGCGCGGGCGCGGACACGTAGGCGTTGGCGGCGGCGAAGGGGCAGTTCATGCCGTCGTTCGACGACGTCTCGTCGGACTCGCCGACGAGCTTCAGCACGACGCCTTCCGCGGCGTCGCAGAAGACGTGCGAGCTGGTGTCGTCGCCCGCGTTCCAGCACTCGTCGGGCACGGTGATGGGCAGCTCGAGCTCGAACACGCCGTAGCCCTGGTTCGAGGAGAAGAGCAGGCTCACGGAGTAGGACGCGTAGGGGTCGTCGGCCGTCGCGTCGAAGTCGACGTACGTGTACGCGGCGCCGAACTCCTGGTTCTCGGACGTCGACTCCTGGCCGTCCCAGTCGAAGGTCGACGGCAGCACGGCGTACTTCGTCGGCTCGCCGCTGTCGCCGACGTAGATGACGACGACCTCGCCCTGCTCGCCGAGGCCCACGAGGTAGTTCGCGCCGACGACGCCGTCGACGACGAAGTCGACCTCGACGTCGTAGCCGCTGCCCAGCACGTTCTCGTTCTTCTCGACGAGCGCCGCGAAGTCTAAAATGGCCTCGGCGAAGAGGTCCTCGGACATGAGGAAGTTGTAGTCCTCGTGGAAGGCGGGCTCGTCGTCGCGGATGCCCTCGACCCAGTAGACGGGCTTCTCGCCGTCGCGGCCGACGTCCTTGGCGTAGTAGTAGTTGTCGAAGATGACCGCGCCCGCGTTCGGCTTCTCGACGACGAGCGTGCCCTTGCAGTCGTTGCGCTCCTGGTAGCCGTCGAAGAAGCAGAGCTTCGACGCGAACGACGCGACGGCCCAGTAGTCCGTCCCGTCGAAGTAGAGGGACGCCGCGTTGATGTGGCGCGTGAACCACGTGAGGTCGTAGACGAGCGTGTACTCGCCCGTGGTCATGTCGAGCTCGCGGACGGAGTAGAGGTCCTCGTTGTCCCACTTGAGCACCTGGACCGGGTTGCCGTGGGACGCGCAGTCGAAGGGCTGGAGCGGCGTCTCGCTCGGCGCCTCCGTCGGCTGCGGCGTCGGCGGCGTGAGCTCCTCGTTGTAGGGGCAGTTGAGGCCGTCGTTCGACTCCGCCTCGCGCGAGTCGGCGATCCAGGAAAGCGTGACCGCGTCGGCCTCGTCGCAGGCCGCGTGGCTCGACGTGTCCGTGCCCGTGTTCCAGCAGCCGTCCGGGACGACGACGGGCAGGGTGAGTTCGAAGATGCCGAAGCCCTGGTTCGACGAGAAGAGGACCCGCGGGTCGCCGTCGGAGCGCAGATAGGCGAACGCGGCGCCGAACTCCTGGTCCTCGTCCGTGTGGGGCTCGCCGTACCATTCGATGGCGCCCGGGAGCACCGCGTAGGCCTCGGGCTCGCCCGTGGCCGCGTCGAGGCGCACGATCAGGAGCTCGGCCTGCTCCGCGAGGCCGACGAGGTACGCGCCGGACAGTTTGCCGTCGTCGACGTAGACCTCGTCGTCGGCGGTCTCGATGAGCGGGGCGACGTCGAGCACGGCCTCCGTGTAGAGGTCGTCGGCGATGGCCAGCGACGCGTCGTCGTGGAAGACGGGCGCGGCGCCGTCGACGTCCTCGATCCAGTAGATGGGCTTGTCGCCGTCGCGGCCCGGGTCCTTGGCGTAGTAGTAGTTCTGGCGCACGATGACGCCGACGTTGGGCTTCGCCTCCATGAGGGGCTCGCTCAGGCAGATCTTGTGGCCCCGGTCGAAGGAGCAGAGCGACCCGTCGAAGGACGCCCAGAGGTAGTACTTGTGGCCCGTGGAGCCGTCGGTCTTCGTGAAGGACTTGTGGCGCAACGCCGCCGCGTTGACGTGGTCGCCGTCGAAGTAGCCCAGGCCGAAGAGGTACTCGTACTCGCCCGTGACCATGTTGAGCTCGCGGACCGTGTAGTAGTCGTCGTCGTCCGTCTGCATGACCTGGATCGGGTTCTTGTACTCGTCGCAGTTGAACTCGGCGATGGGCGACTGGGACGGCGCGAGCGTCGGCGAGGACGTGGGCCGGAAGAGGTTCATGGTGTCCGGGCAGTTCATGCCGTCGTTGCTGTCCGTCTCGTCCGACGGGCCGACCCAGTTGACGCGCTGCTCGCCCGCGGCCGTGCAGAAGACGTGGGACGACGTGTCGCTCCCCGTGTTCCAGCAGCCGTCGGGGATCTCGAAGGGCAGCGCGAGCTCGTACATGCCCGACCCCTGGTTCGACGAGAAGAGCACGTGAACGTCCTCGTCGTCGTCGAAGAACGTGTACGCGGCGCCGAACTCCTGGTCCTCCGACGTCTCCTCGCCGTCGCCCCAGACGACGTAGGTCCCGAGGACGGCGTAGGACTCGGGGTAGCCCGTGTCCGTGTTGATGCGGATCACGAGCACCTCGAACTGCTCCGCGAGGCCGATGAGGTACTTGCCGCCGTCGACGCCGTCGTCGATGTACGTGTTCCCGTTGATCTCGCGCACGATGCCCACGTCGAGCACGGCCTCCGTGTAGAGGTCCTCGGAGACGACGAACTGGACGTCGTTGTGGAACGTCGGCGCGTCGTCGAGGATGCCCTCGACCCAGTAGAAGCCGCGCTCCTCGCCGCGGCCGACGTCCTTGGAGTAGTAGTAGTCGTCGCCGAGGACCGCGCCGACGTTGGGCTTCTCCTCCGCCAGGGGCGTGTCGAAGCACTCCTTGCGCGTCAGGTCGAAGCCGCAGAGGTAGCCGCCGAAGGAGCCCCAGGCGTAGTACTCGGGGAAGTCGGCGTCCTGGTCGCCGAGGTACATGCCCACGGCGTTGACGTGGCCGTCGAACCAGTCGATGTCCCAGAGGACCTCGTACTCGCCCGTGGCCACGTCGAGCTCCGCGACGCTGTACATGTCGCTGTCGTCGTCCACCTGGAGCACCTGGAGCGGGTTGCTGTGCGCGGCGCAGTCGAAGGGCTCGATGGGCGAGAACGACGGGCCGCGCGTCGGCGCGGCCGACGGGACGAACATCTCGAGGTCGTAGGGGCAGTTCATGCCGTCGTTGCTGTCCGTCTCGTCCGACGGGCCGATGTAGTTGATGGGCTGCGCGCCCGCGGCCGCGCAGCCGGCGTGCGACGACGTGTCGACGCCCGTGTTCCAGCAGCCGTCGGGGATCGCGATCGGCAGCGCGAGCTCGTACATGCCCGACCCCTGGTTCGACGAGAAGAGCACGTGGACGTCGCCCTGGGGGTCGTAGAACGTGAAGGCCGCGCCGAACTCCTGGTCGTCGTCGAGCTCGCCGTCCTTCCACGCGACGTCGCTCTCGAGGACCGCGTAGGCCTCCGGGTAGCCCGAGTCCTTGTTGATCTTGACCACCAAGATCTCGAAGGCCTCGCCGAGGCCGACGAGGTAGGAGCCGTCGACGAGGTCGTCGTCGATCCAGACCTGGCCGTCGGTCTCGCTGACCGTCGCGACGTCGAGCACGGCCTCCTCGTAGAGGTCCTCGGAGACGAGGAACTCGACGCCCGAGTGGAAGACGGGCTCGTCGTCCAGGATGTTCTCGACCCAGTAGAAGCCCCGCTCCTCGTCGCGGCCGACGTCCTTGGAGTAGTAGTAGTCGTCGCCGAGGACCGCGCCGACGTTCGGCTTCTCCTCCGCCAGGGGCGTGTCGAAGCACTCCTTGCGGACGTGGTCGAACTTGCAGAGGTAGCCGCCGAAGGAGCCCCAGGCGTAGGCGTCCTCGCCCTCGGGCGCGTAGAGGCCCACGGCGTTGACGTGGCCGTCGAACCAGTCGATGTCCCAGAGGACCTCGTACTCGCCCGTGAGCACGTCGAGGCTGGCGACGCTGTACATGTCGCTGTCGTCGTCGACCTGGAGCACCTGGACGGGCGTGTTGTAGGCCGTGCAGTTGAAGGGCAGGATGGGGCTGAGCGTCGGCGCGAGCGTCGGCGCGGCCGTCGGCACGAAGAGGTTGTCGCTGTAGGGGCAGTTGAGGCCGTCGTTGGACCTCGTCTCCTCCGAGGGGCCCAGGCACTGGATGCTCGCCGTGGACCCGGCCGTGCAGACCACGTGGTCGTCGACGTCGTCGCCCGTGTTCCAGCACTCGTCCGGCACGACGAGCGGCAGCTTGACCTCGAAAATGCCGCTGCCCTGGTTCGACGAGATGAGGATGTGGGCGTCGTCGTCCTTGTCCAGGTAGTGGAACGCCGCGCCGAACTCCTGGTCCTCGTCGTCCTCGTCGCAGACGTGCCAGTCGACGGCGCTCTCGAGGACCGCGTACGACTCGGGGTAGCCCGTCGCCGTGTTGATGCGCACGACGAGGACCTCGAACTGCTCCGCGAGGCCGATGAGGTACTGGCCCTCGGCGACGCCGTCGTCGATCCACGTCTTGCCCGCCGCCTCGGGGAGCGCCGCGACGTCGAGGACGGCCTCCGCGTAGAGGTCCTCGGACACGGCGAAGAGCGTGCCCTCGTGGAACTCGGGCGACGGCGTGTCGATGCCCTCGACCCACCAGAAGTCGGTGTTGCCGTCGCGCCCGAAGTCCTTGGCGTAGTAGTAGTTGGACCCGAGGATCGCGCCGACGTTCGGCTTCTCCTCCGCGAGGGGCGTGTCGAAGCACTTCTTCTTCGTCGCGTCGAAGCTGCACAGGTAGCCCCCGAAGGACGCGTAGGGGAAGAACCGGCCGTCGTCGGCCTCGTAGAGCGCCGCGGCGTTGACGTGGTCGTCCCAGTACTCGATCGTGTAGACCTCGGAGTAGACGCCCGTGACGACGTCGAGCTCGCGGAGGCTGTACTCGTCCGCGCCGTCGTAGCGCATGACCTGCGTCGGGTTCTCGTAGAGCTCGCAGTTGTGCGCGTTGACGTCCGAGAGCGTCGGGCCGACCGTCGGCGCGGACGTGGGGACGAAGATGTTCGTGTTGAAGGGGCAGTTGAAGCCGTCGTTGCTCTCGGCCTTGTCGGACGGGCCGAGGCACTTCACGTCCGCCGTCGTCCCGGACGAGCACGCCACGTGGTCGTCGACGTCGTCGCCCGTGTTCCAGCACCCGTCCGGCACGACGAGCGGCAGCTCGACCTCGAACATGCCCGCGCCCTGGTTCGACGAGAAGATGAGGTGGCTCGCGCCGTCGCTGCCCAGGTAGGTGTAGGCGGCGCCGAACTCCTCGTCCTCGTCATCTCCCTCGTCGCAGACGTGCCAGTCGACGGCGCCCTCGAGGACCGCGTAGGCCTCGGGGGCGCCCGCCGGGTCGAGGCGCACGACGAGGACCTCGAAGCGCTCGCCGACGCCGACGAGGTACTTGCCGTCGACGCCGTCGTCGATGGACACCTCGCCCGGCTGCTCGACGAGCGGCGCGACGTCGAGCACGGCCTCGGTGTAGAGCTCGTCGGAGACGGAGAAGAGCGTGTCCGTGTGGAAGACGGGGTCGTCGCCGTCGAGGCCCTCGACCCACCAGAAGTGCTTGTTGTCGTCGCGGCCGACGTCCTTGGCGTAGTAGTAGTTGTCCTCGATGATGGCGCCGACGTTGGGCTTCGCGTGCTCCAGCGCCGTGTCGAAGCAGACCTTGTGGGCCGCGTCGAACTTGCAGAGGTAGCCCCCGAAGGACGCGAACGGGTAGTAGGCGCCGTCGGCGGCCTCGTAGAGCGCCGCGGCGTTGACGTGGTCGTCCCACCAGTCGAGCTCGTAGAGCTCCTCGTAGACGCCCGTGATCACGTCCAACTCCCGGACGCTGTACTGGTCGTTGCCGTCGAAGCGCATGACCTGGATGGGGTTGTCGTGCGCGTCGCAGTCGTGCGCCTCGACGGGCGTGCCCGCGGGCGCGGCCGTCGGCGCGGCCGTCGGCGGGAAGAGGCTCGCGGAGAAGGGGCAGTTGAGGCCGTCGTTGGACGACGTCTCCTGGGACTCGCCGACCTTGACGAGCTCCAGGAGCGTCGCGCCCTCGCAGAAGACGTGGTCCGCGACGTCCGCGCCCTCGTTCCAGCACGCGTCGGGCACGTCGACGGGCAGCGACAGCTCGAAGACGCCCGTGCCCTCGTTGGCGGCGAAGAGCAGGTGGAGGCCGCCGCTCGGGTCGCTGTAGGTGAAGGCCGCGCCGAACGCGGTGTCGCCGTCGTCCTCGTCGCCGCCCCGCCAGTCGACGTACGACTCCAGGACCGCGTACGCGCCGGGGTAGCCGTCGTCGTCGACGCGCGCGATGAACACCTTCTTGTCGTAGGCGAGGCCCACGAGGTAGGTCGCGGTGACGCCGTCGAGGACGAGGCCGTCGTCGTCGACCTCCGTCACGGGCGCGACGTCTAAAACGGATTTCGTGAAGAGGTCCTCGGAGACCGCGAAGCGCGCGTCGTCGTGGAACGCGGGGCTCGAGCCCGCGATGCCCTCGACCCAGTAGAAGGACTTCTCGCCGTTGTTGCCCGGCTCCTTGGCGTAGTAGTAGCGGTCCTCGACGATCGCGCCGACGTTCGGCTTCTCCTCGGCGAGCGCGTCCGCGAAGCACTCCGCGCGGTCGACGTCGAAGTAGCAGAGGTAGCCCTGGAAGGAGCCCAACGCGTAGAAGGGCCCGTCGCCGGCGTAGGAGAGATCGAGGAGCGCGACGGCGTTGACGTGGTCCCCGAAGTAGTCGATGTCGAAGACCTTGGAGTATTCGCCCGTGTACAGGTCGAGCTCGCGGACGCTGTACTCGTCCGTGTCCCCCCACTGGAGCACCTGCACGGGGTTGCTGTGGACGTCGCAGTCCCAGGGCTCGATGGGCATGAACGACGGCGAGTGCGTCGGCCGCGGCGACGGCCGCGGCGACGGGAGCTCCGTCGGGGCGTACGTCGGCGCGGGCACGGGCGTCCGCGTGGGCTCCGGCGACGGCACGAGCGTCGGCGTCGGCGTCGGGTCCGGCGCGGGCGCCTCGCTGGGCTCGGGCGTCGGCGTTTTCGTCGGCGCGTAGGACGGCTCGGGCGTCGGCGTCGGCGTCGGCGCGGGCGTCGGCGTCCGGCTCGGCTCGGGCGTGGGCGCGGGCGTGGGGACGGGCGTCGGCTCGGGCGTCGGCGACACGGTGGGCGCGTAGGACGGCTCCGGGCTCGGCGGGTCCGTGGCGAAGATGTCGCCGTCGGGGCAGTTCATGCCGTCGTTCGACGACGCGTCGCGGCTCTCCGCGCGCCACCGGAGGTCGACGTCCGGCGACGCGGCGCAGGCGGCGTGCGTCGACGAGTCGAAGCCCTCGTTCCAGCAGGCGTCGTCGATGGAAAAGGGGAGCACGAGCTGGAAGAGGCCGTAGCCCTCGTTGCTCGCGAAGTAGATCTCCGTGAGCTTGCCGTCCGTGGGCTCGTACGCGAACGCGGCCCCAAAGGCCGTCGTGCCCGTGTCGCCGTCGTAGTCGCCCCAGTCCACGTCGCTGTCGAGCACGGCGTACTTGTCCGGGTAGCCGCTGTCCGGGTCCACGTGGACGACGAGGAGCTCGTAGTCCTTGCCCAGACCGAAGAGGTACGTGCCCGAGGACTCGCCGTCGACGACCAAGCCGTTGTCGCCCTCCTCCGTGACGGCGACGAAGTCGAGCACAGCCCCCTCCCAGAGGTCGCCGTTCACGGCGAAGTTCGTCTCCGTGTGGAACCGCGGCGCGTCGCCGTTGATGCCCATGACGACGTAGATGACGTCCTCGCCGTCGCCGAGATTCTTCGAGTAGTAGTAGTTGTCCCCCGAGATCGTGCCCACGTTCGCTTTGAGCTCAAGATCTTTCTCGAAGCAGAACGCCTCGGAGTCGTCGAAGCGGCAGAGCTTCTGCTCGAATTCGCCGAACGCGTAGTAGCCATGGTCGCCGCCGTCGAAGAGCGAGATCGCGTTCACGTGGCCGTCGAACCAGTCCAGGGAGAAGATCTGCGTGTACTCGCCCGTGTCGACGTCGAGCGTGTTCGCCGTGTAGTGGTCGTCGCCCTCGCGCTCCAAGACTTGCACCGGCGCCGCGTAGAGGTCGCAGTCCCACGCGTCGACCCCAAAGTCGGCCCAGCAGACGTCGCCGCTCGGGCAGGGCGCGCCGCTCGGCTCCTTCGTCGGGGCGAGGGTCGGCGCGTAGGTGGCGTAGACGGACCAGAAGACGGGGCAGTTGAGGCCGTCGTTGCTCGAGGCCTCGCGCGAGTACGCGAGCCATTCCAACGTTTCGGACGACCCGGACGCGCACGCGCTGTGGCCCGACGTATCCAACCCCGAATTCCAGCACGCATCGGGCACGGTCACGGGCAGGTCCAGCTCCAGCAACCCGTAGCCGTCGTTGGACGCGAAGTACGCGCGGCGGCCGCCGTCCGCGCTGTGGTACGCGAACGCGGCTCCAAAGGCCGTCTCCCCACCTTCTTCGGCGTCGCCCCAGTCCACGGACGTGTCGAGGACGGCGTACTTGTCGGGGTAGCCGGTGTCGTCGAGATGGATCACGAGGACCTTGTAGTCCTGGGACAGGCCCAGCAGGTAGGTGCCCGCGGCGTCGTCGTCGTCGACGTAGACCCGCGCGCCGGAGAACTCGTCGTCGGACGCCGCGGCCTCGTCGAGGGGGATGACGTCGAGCACGGCCTCCTGGAAGACGTCGTCGGCGATGGCGAGGATGGGGTCGGCGTGGAACGTCGGGTCCGCGTCGTTGATGTCCTCGACGAAGTAGACGAACGAGTCGCCGTCGTCGTCCTCGCCGGTGTTCTTCGAGTAGTAGTAGGAGTTGCCGACGATGGTGCCGACGTTGGCGCTGTACTCCAGGGGCGTGTCGAAGCAGGCCTGGCCGCTCGCGTCGAAGCGGCAGAGGAAGCCCGCCATGGACGCGAACGTGTAGTACGACCCGCCCGGCGTCTCGTACATGGCCGCGCCGTTGACGTGGCCGTCGAACCAGTCCATCTCGTAGACGAGCTCGTACTCGCCCGTCTGCGTGTCGAGGTAGCGCACGCTGTAGTGGTCCTCGTCGTCCCGCTCCATGACCTGGATCGGCTCCGGCGACGCGACGCAGTCCCAGGCGGCGACGGCGTCGGCGTCGTCCCAGCAGACGTCGTCGCAGGAGGCGGCGCTCGTTTTCCCGTGCTGGAGCGCCAGCGCCAGCGCGGCGAGGGCCCGCCGGGGCACCATGGGACTGCGCCGCTCCGGGGCCGCCGAGGAACGTCGCCCGGGGCTGCCACAGCCAAGAAGCCGCACGGCCTTGCTGCCAGATTTTTGGCGTCCCCCGCAGCTTCCATATCCAGATTATGCAGCGTTGTTGGTGTTCTAGTTAGAGGTAGTTTGATGACTAGGGGATAGACGATGACTAGGGCGTACTGTGAGTCACGTAGAGCGTAGAACTGTCTTTAAAGTCAGCAGGCTCAGGCAGGTGGTGGGTCTCGTGTCCGCGTCGCGGGGGGTCTCGGGGATCGCGTCGCGCCGCCGGGACCGACGCCGCGCGACGGGCGTCTGTCGGACGTGTGCGCCGGGCGCTGGTCGGCCTGGCCGCGCCATCGGACGTACATCTCACGCTCGGGACACGTGAGAAGCCGGCACAGGAGCGCTGGCCCAGCCCTCGACCCCCGGCGGAGTCAGCAGGCTCAGGCAGGTGGTGGGTCTCGTCACGGTGTCCGCGTCGCGGGGGGTCTCGGGGATCGCGTCGCGCCGCCGGGACCGACGCCGCGCGACGGGCGTCTGTCGGACGTGTGCGCCGGGCGCTGGTCGGCCTGGCCGCGCCATCGGACGTACATCTCACGCTCGGGACACGTGAGAAGCCGGCACAGGAGCGCTGGCCCAGCCCTCGACCCCCGGCGGATAAACCTAGTTAGCCGGATAACCTAGCCATCGCCTCAGCCTGAGTCGCCAAGCCGATCGAGGTGCTGGTCGGCGTCCAGTGGTAGCGACGCGCGCGGCGCGCACAGGGGCCGCCCTCAAGCCGGGGGAAGTGGTCAATTTGCGTCGACGGAGCGACGGGCGAAGTTTCGCGGGGCGACGACGTCGGCGAGCGGCGCGCCACGGCGGACCGCCTCAAGTGGCCGCCGTTCGTCCGCGCCGTCGACGGGCGCCCCCCGCCCCTCCTCCGGGACGAGCGGGGAGCGCCTCCTCACCCCCGCGGATCGTCGCCGTCGCGCCGCCCGCCGTGCCCGGGCGCGCCCGGCGCGGCGGCGGCGCCGAACGGCCGGCTCCGGCCGTTCGGCGGCGAGGCTCTCCACGCCCCCCGGCCGTCGCGAGAGGGGAGGACACGTCGCTTCGCTCCGCCCCTCGAATCCGCGCGCGGTCCGCTCACCGTTTCCCCGTTTCTCGCAGGTCGTCAAGATGGTGTACGATCCTTCCCTCGCCGCCCTGGCGAAAACGTACAACTGCGAGAAGATGATCTGCCGCAAGTGCTACGCGCGCCTGCCCCCCCGCGCCAAGAACTGCCGGAAGAAGTCGTGCGGGCACACGAACCAGCTCCGCCCCAAGAAGAAGCTCAAGTAAGCGCGGCGGCCCCCGACCCGCCGGCTTGTTCGCTCGCCGTTTAATATTTCCCAAACCCAGTCTCCTTGTGTGTGGAATCCCCGGCGCCCGTGCGAAGCCGGGAGAGTCGACGACCAGACAGGCGTATGTACACGAGCGGCGACCCCCTAGTCCTCCTTCGAAAACATCTCCGCCTTGAAGTCGTGGACGTGCTTCATGAGCATGTCCGCGGCGAGCTTCTGGATGACGACGCTCCAGAGGTCTACCGTTTTCCTCGCCGCGCCGTCGAGGTACTCGACGTCGATGTGCGCGAGGAGCGGCGAGATGTGGCTGTTGTCGAGCTGGCCGAGCGTCTTGCCCGTGGCCTTGAGCGCGACCGTCTCGCAGACGTCCTGGACGGCCGGCAGCACGGTCGAGAGCACGGGCGTGTCCTCGAGGGACACCCAGGTCTCGAGGAACAGCGTCTTCCCTCGCTGCAAGAGCGAATACCTAACCAAGGGGGAGTCAACGCGGTCTTTGTCGCGAAATCCGAGCCGGAGCACGCCCGCGGGGAGTTCACAGTCTCGAGAACTCCGAACACGCCCAAGCGCGTCACGAAAAAGGATGCGGACGCGGCCCGCGCGCTCGCTCCGCACGTCGTACTCGGGAATATCCTCGGTCTCCATCGTCGATGACCAAGCGGGCTGCGCTGCTTGAATATTTTGTTGAAGCACGGCAGCCCGGGTCGACGCGATGGTCAGCTCTGAGGAGCGCTCGTTCGTCAATCAAATTGTCCGCTATCACGCGTCGGGCGGCGACCTCGACGCCCTTTATTTCTTGACAGGCGACGTTGGTGTCGAGGATGACCCTGAATCCGACCATTCGATCATCCATGATGGATGGACGCGCCTGTATTATGCAGCGCAAGAAGGGTGGTGTTCGGTCATAGTTTTCCTTCTCGAACAGGGCGCCGACGTCAACTTGGGCTGGCCATCCAAAGGCAAGACGCCACTGCACAGCGCCTCTTTTCGCGGCCGGACCGGGTGCGACGCCGCAGTCCTGCTGCTCGACGCGGGCGCGCGGGTCGACGATCGCGACTGGACTGGCCAGACCGCGCTCCACATCGCAGCCTCGAACAATCTCGTCAAGAGGTGCAAGCTTCTGCTGAGTCGCGGCGCGTCGCTCGACACGCGCAATGACGCCGGCCGAAAACCCCAGGCCCGCGCGCTAGACAGCGGCCGCGCGAACACGGCCGACTTCCTCGCCGCCGTCCGCGCCGCGGGCGGCTGGACGGCCCACGTGGCCGCTCGGCGCGCCGACCGCGCCGAGCTCCTCGATTTCCGCCGGGCTTTGCCAACGCTCCGCCGCTACGGCCCCTGCGCCGAGCGCGTGCAAGCGCGGCTCTTCCTCGACGCGAATGTCCCCGACGACGTCTTCGTCCTCGTCCTCCAGTTCTGGCGCAGCGATCGCGATTTCTAATACACGACCGAATGCGATAAATTCCCGGCTAGGCGACGACGCGCTGGGCCTCCTCGGCCTCGGCGCGCTTCTCGGCCGCGCGGCGCTCCTTGCGGTGCTCGTCCATGTCGTCGATGGCGATGGCGCGCGCGAGGCGGCCCGCCTCGTAGCCGCTGTTCTTCTTCGTCGCGAGCCGCTCCTCGCCCGCGTCGGCCTCCTTCTCGGCGGCCTGGGAGGCCATGATGACGTCCGTGAGGCACTGGTTGTCGTCCGTGAAGAAGTCGCTGTGGTCGCGGTACTGGCGCTCGAGCTCCTCGAGCACGAGGACGTACATGGGGCAGAAGGCGCGGTCCGCGCCCGTCCGCGCGAGGATCTCCCGGTAGGGCGCGTAGGTCGCCAGCGCGTGGATGGGCGACAGGACCTTGTCGAGCTGCATGAAGGCGACGTGCGTCGCCCAGACGTCGGCCTGGTCGAAGATGTGCGTCGCGTAGACGACCGACGCGCCGCGCGCGGCGCACTCGCGCGTGAGGTAGTCGAAGAAGCGCTTGCGCGAGAAGATGTCGAGGTCCGCGGCGAACTCGTCGATGACGCAGAGGCGGAAGGGGCGCAGCAGCTTGAGCATGATGCGCACCTTCTTCCGCTGGCCGTCGGAGCACTCGTGCATGCGCCAGTCGAGGTTGATGCCCAGCACGCGCACGAGCTCGTCGCGCCGCTCGAGGTTCTCGGCCTGCCACTTCTTCATCATGTCGCGCGCGGCGATGTCCATGGAGAAGGGCTCGATGCCCTCGAAGCCCGTGCGGCGCCGCTTCCAGACGCCGCCGAGGTACGCGACGCCGTTCGCCTGGTCGTGGGGCGTCGCGTTGCCGTTGATGTCGAACTCGTCGTGCTCGAGGCCCAGGTAGATGACGCCCGTGAGGATGCGCAGCAGCGTCGACTTGCCCGCGCCGTTGGCGCCGACGAGGATGACCTTGGCGTTCGGCGGGATGACGCAGTTCAGGCCGTTGATGTTCTTGCGCCCGCCCGTCTCGTAGGCGAAGGTCAGGTTGCGGATGTTCACGACGGGCTTGTCCGACGCGTCCAACTCCATCTGCGCGGCCATGGTTGGGGTTGGTGCGGCGCGGCTGGCGGCGTCTGAGTCGATGAGGTCTAATGAGGTGCTGACGAGGCGATCACAGCACCGTCTACCGGAAAACCCAACTTTCATGCAACTAGGGGCCTTTCGTACACCTGCACGCGCACGCACGCGCGCACGTAGACCTACTCCTCATGTCTCAGCGAGTAGGGGTAGCTCCGCCCGTCCCTGTCGCAGCCGGGGACGATGTTAGAAGACCGTCCCACCGTACCCCCGCGCGCGGCGCGGCCCTTTGCTTCGAAACTTCAACTTCGCTACCCGCCTCCCCCCTTGGCGCAGTCCAAAGCGCGGCGCGTCTGGTCCATGAGGCCGATGTGGCCGGCGGCGACGGAGGCGGAGGCGCAGATCTCGGCTTTGCACATCTGCGCGAGGAAGGCCTGGACGTTCCAGACGCAGGGGTCGACCTGGACGGGCTTCCAGCGCGGGTCGTCGAAGTTCTGGTAGAAGAACCAGTAGATGAAGCCCTACGACGCCGGCGGGTTTCGCGCACGCGCGCGGCCGCGCGGACGCGGCGCGCGCGCCTGCATGCGCGCGTCGAACTTGCGGTGGAAGGGGCCCCAGCCCGCGCCGTTCCAGCCCGTCTCCCGGTCGACCTGCCAAAGACGCGTCCGTCGGCGTCGGGGGGGGGGGGCGAGGACCGGGCGCCGGGCGCCGCGCGGTGGCCGTCGAGAGCGCCGCGAGGAGCGCGTCCCGGAGCGCGGCGCTCGGCGGGACGGCGGCGAAGGCGCCGTTCATGGCGCTGTGGGCGCCCCGCGTCGTGATCACGTGGCCCGCCGCCGCGCAGTCGAAGATGGGCCGCAGGCGCTCGACGTCGTCGACGTCGAAGTCGTTGTCGACGACGGCGACGGCGTCGTAGTCGGCGAAGCCGAACGCGTGGAGCTTCATGAACTCGCGGGCGCCGCAGCAGCCGCCGCTCTCCAGGGGGACGCCGGGGCTGAGCTGCGGCGGCGCGACCCAGTCCGCGTGGCGCACCTTGACGCCGCCCTCCGCGAGACGCCGCGCGACGCCCGCGTCGATGGGCTCGCGCTGAAGGTCGCGGCGCGGCACGACGAGGATGACGTCGACGCCCGCGCGCCGCCCGAGGGCGGCGAGCTTGAGGCGGTGGCCCACCGCGGTCCCGTTGTCGCAGCGCGTCCGGTTCGCCTCGCCGCACGTCGCCTGCGTGGCAATCGACCGGTGGAACGCCCCGTCCGGCGAAAACGTCAAACCTCTCTATCTCGGTCAATTCGCAGTCGATGCGGCTGATTTTTGGACGCATCGATGGCTCTCGTCGAGTTCTCGAAGCACGGCTGAAGAGCGTGCGTCGAAACGGTCGCATACTCGCACATTGACGTCGGGTTGAAGATTTGAGTTCCGCGCCGCGCGTCGCCTCGAGCGGCACGTGCGCGTCGAAGACCGACGCGATCGCGACCTTCTTCGCCGCGCCCCGCGCGCACGTCGACACGTCCAGGCACGCCACCTCCCGCCCCCGCGACGTGCACCGCCGCGCGTCCGCCGCCTCTTCCTTCCACCACGGCGTCCCGCCGTGGTTCCCGCAGGCGAAGGGCGCCAGGAACGCGAGCCGAAGCGCGAGGCCCATCGCGGTCGTCGCCGCAACGCGGCTGCGTGCTTTGCGCCCGGCCGCAGTGATGAGCCGACGTGCAGCACCAAAACGACGCGCTACTTAGCACGCCTCCATCATCACGGGCGGCTGCTTGTCATACGTCAACATGACGGCATCATTACCGCGCGGCGGAGGAGCGCTGGGGCCGTGTTTTTCAAAGCTTTGCAGCGCATTGCGCTGCTCCTCGTAGCCCATGGTGCGCGCCTTCGTCACCGGCGGCAACAGAGGCCTGGGCCTCGAGTGCGTCAAAGTCTGCCTGGAGCACGGCTGCGAGCTCGTCTTCCTCGGCTGCCGGAACCTGCAGCAGGGGCGCGTGCTCGCCTGCGAGCTCGCGAGCACCTACGGCGAGCGCGTCGAGGCCGTCGAGCTCGACGTCACGGACGCGGCGTCGATCGCGCGCGCCGCCGCCGCCGTGGCGACGTCGAACGCGCCGAACTACGCGGGCCACAACGAGATCGAAGCGAAGACCGTCGACGTCTTCGTCAACAACGCCGGCGTGCTCCTGGAGAACTACCAGGACGGCCTCCGCGACGAGGCCGCGCGGCGCACGCTCGCGGTCAACGTCTACGGCGCCATCGACGCGACCAATGCCTTCCTGCCGCTCCTCGGGCCCGGCGCGAAGGTCCTCAACGTGTCGTCGTCGGTGGGGACGCGGACCCACGGCCTGCTAACCAAAAGCGACCGCGCGGCCCTCGAGGCCGCCGACCTCGACGAGTCCCAACTCCGACGGGTCGCGGCGTCCTTCGTCGCCAAGTTCATGGACCCGGGCCACGCCTACTGCCGCATGGCGACGCCGGCGTACGGCGCGTCGAAGTGCCTCCTCAACGCGTACACGCGGCTCCTCGCGCGCGACCGGCCGGACCTCTTCGTCAACGCGTGCTCGCCCGGCTTCTGCAAGACGGACATCTGCGGGCCCAAGGGCTCCATGGGCGGCCGCGAGCCCAAGAGCGCGGCGCTCGGCGCGACGGTCTTCGCCGCCGCGCTCTTCGGGGACCTCGGCGCGGGGCGGACCGCGACCTTCTTCAAGGAGGGCTCCAAGCCGGGCACGCCCCTGAGCGAGGCGACGTCGACGATCGAGGCCTGGGTCGCGGAGCCGCAGCCGGAGGCGGGGTAAGCCTAGTTTAAGCGAGCGCGGAGAAGATCGCGGACAGGTCGTGCTGGTACGGCGCCGACCGCTGGGGCGGCGGCGCCGCGACCGCCGGGGGGCGCCGCGCGGGCGCCGGGGGCGCCTCGGGCGCCGGGGGCGCCTCGGGCGCCGGCGGCTCCTCCTTGCGCGCCATGCCCGCGCGCTTCAGCGCGCGCCGCTCCTTGGCCGTGAGCTGCGGTTCGTCCGCCGCCGCCGCCTCCTCGGCCGCCGGCGCCTCGGCCGCCGGCGCCTCGGCCGCCGGCGCCTCGGCCGCCGGCGCCTCCTTGCGCGCCATGCCCGCGCGCTTCGCCGCGCGACGCTCCTTCGCCGTGAGCTGGGCGTCGTCGGCGCGCGCGTCGTCGCGGTTGAGCGACAGCAGCTCGGGCGCGGGCGCCTGGAGCGCCGCGCGCTTGGCCGCGCGCCGCTCCTTCGCCGTCGTCGGCGGCGCGTCCGCGTCGTCGCCGGGGCACGCCGCGGGCTCGTCGGGCTCGTCGCCCCGGAAGGGCTTCGGGACGACGATCTCCGCCTCGCGGGGCTCGTGGGAGTACTTCTCGAAGGGGTTCTCCTCCTGTGGACACGCGGCAGATGATCTTCGTGAGGTACGCGGCCGGGTTCTCGAACTTCTCGCGGCCGACGAGCGACGCGTACTCCGTCAGCGCCGCGTGGGCGACGCGGCCGCTGCGCCGCTGGAGCAGGCGGCGCACGCCGTCGTCGACCTCGTCGCGCCGGAGCTGGCCCGACGCGACGAACTCCTCGAGCACGCGGTCGACGGTCTCCTCGACCTTTTTGGACTGGTGCGCCCGGTGCTCCGCGAGCTTGCCCTTCTTGGCCTCGCGGCCGCCGCCGGCGCTGCGCTCCACGTTGATGCGCCGGCCGTCGATCTGCGCGTGGTGGAGCGCGACGCACGCGTAGAGCGCCTCGGCCGTCTCGCACTGCACGAACGCCATGCCCCGAGATTTGCCCGTCTTCGCGTCCGTGAGGAGCCGCACCTTGAGGGTCCCGGGCACGTCCTGGGACGTGAAGAACGCCTTGAGGCGCTCGGCGGTCACGGAGAAGCCGAGCTGGCCCACGAAGGCGACGAGCGGCGCGGACGACGGCTCGCGCGGCCGCTTCTTGGAACTCTTCGCGCCGCCGCCGGCCTCGCCGCGCGCCGCGGCGCGCTTCGCCGCGCGCCGCTCCTTGGACGTGCCGCCGGCGGCCGCGGCGTCGAAGGCCGACGTCGTCTTTGTCGGCGCCGGCGCCGCCTCGCCGCGCTCGGCGGCGCGCTTGAGCTTGCGCCGCTCCTTCGCCGTGAGGCCGCCGTCGGACGGCGCGGCCGCGGGCGGCTTCGGGTAGCATCCGACGGCTGCTTCGCGCCGGCCGCCTCGCGCGCCGCGGCGCGCTTGGCCAGGCGGCGCTCCTTGGATGTGAGCTCGGCCATCGATGCTCTGCGCTTCGGGCCCACACCTCGCAAGAGTTGTCGCCGGAAGCTCTACTTAGTAGAGCTCTGGCTCCTCAAAAGTCTCCTCAAGTTGCCGGCATAGTGCCGCGCGCGCCGCCGCCGCCATCGCTCCTCAGCGGTCGATTGATGTTCCGCTTTTTGGTGTTCCCGAAGCCTCGGCCCCTCACGCGTCCCGAAACCAAGGGGCGCGTACGACGGCGTCGATGGCGCCGAGATCGGCGGTGGCGGATTCGTCCGTCGTTCGTACGCGGGGCGACACCGGACGATCTTGTGTGCAGTTTTTTTAAACGAGGTGGTGGGGGTAGTCCCGCAGCGGGTCGACCTTGGCGCCCTGGGCGCTCGGCCGCGGCGTCACGGTCCTCGGCCGGAGCGTGTTGCCGAGCGACGCGAGCTCGCGCGCGAGCTGCGCGCGGAACGCCTCCGCGGCGTTGCGCTTGGCCTCGGCGTCGGCGAGGATGGAGTCGCGCTCGCGCTGGACGCTCCGCGCGGCCGCCAGCAGCTCGCGCGCCGTCGGCTCGCGGTCCGCGGAGACGTCCGCGGGCGGCGCGGCGGGCGGCGCGTCGTCCGGCAACGTCGGCCGCGGCAGGCGGCAGCGGACGAACGCGTTGAGCTTGCGCAACGGCCCGCGCCGCGGCGCGCCGTCGTCGCAGAGCGCGTCGAGCTCGCGCACGCGGTCGACGACGCGCGTCGGCGGCGGCGTTTTTCGAGAAACGGGCTCCTCGGGTATCGGCGCGGGCTCCGGCGCTTCGCGCCGCGTCGCGTTCGATTGGCCGCCGCCGTCGCAGGTGACGAGCCAGGCGCCGAGGTCGAAGGTCCAGACGTCGCGCTGCGCCACGGGCAGGGACCGGTGGATCTCGTCGGCGACCATGGACCCGAAGGGCGCGAACTCAAAGTCCGCGCGCGCCGCCTCCGCTCCGACGAACGACGTCGCGTCCAACCGAGGCCGGCCCGCCGCGCCGTCGAAGCCAAAGGCCGCCGTCCCGAGGAACGGGTAGGCGTCCGTGACCTCGACGGCGACGACGAGCGTCGACGCGGCGATCGTCGCGCTCTCGAAGGTCACGCCCAACCGGGGGACGGCGTACTTCGCGAAGCGGCCTTGTAATTCGAGGTCGAGCGACGCGAAGCCGCCGGGCGCCTCCAGGGCCCAGTCGCCCACCTCGACGGCGTAGGCCAACATCTTGGCGCCGGGCCGTAAAGCGTCGACGAGCGCCGGCGTCGGCTCGCGCGTCTCGACGCGGTGTAAGGGCGGCAGGCCCGCGCCGAAGTCGACGGACGCCTCCAGCACCTCGAAGGACCCGTCGTAGTAGGCCATGGTCTCCAGCAGCACCCCCCGCGCGCGCTCGCTGACGTGGCGCCGCAGGCCCGCGGCCCAGATGGTCTCGAGGGACCGGCGCGCGAAGAGGAGCGACGCGAGCCAGTCCGCCGGCGCCGGCGGTGCGGCGGGCGCGTCGGCCACCGCGGGCACATCATCGCCGCCGCCCGGCGCGGCGGCGGCGTAGAGCGCGGCGGCGACGACCAGATAGCGCAGGACGGCCATGATCCGCGACGCGGGCTTGGCGTCGCGCGGCTTCGACGCGCGTCCGATCGCGAAGGCGAGCACGGCGAGCGCGACGCCCGAGCGGCGCTCGACCGCGCGGCCCACGCGCTCCGCGGCGGCGCCGAGCCGGCCGGCGAGGGCGAGACCCCGGAACACGAGGTCCGCGGGCGGCGGCGCGGTCGTGCCGTTCGCGGGCGCCGCGGCCCGGGGCGCCGCGCGCGTCGGCGCCGCCGCGGGCGCGGGCGCCGCGGGCGCGGGCCGCGGCGCGGGCCGCGCGGCGGGCCGCCGCGTCGGCGCGCGGCCGCCAAGGGTCTTGACGAGGTCCCCGGCGCTCTCGAACTTGGACGACGACGCCTCCAGGGCCTTGGACGCGCGCCGGAGCGCCTTCGACGCTCGGCGGGTGGCGACGCCCGTCGCGCGCAGCGCGCCGCCCACGAGCAGGTCCGGGATGCCCGCGCCGCTCGACCGCTGCTCGTTCGTCGCGCCGGCGCCGCCGCCGGCCCGCGGCGGCGACCCCCGCGCCGCCGCGCCGCGCCAGGCGGCGGCGTAGTCGAAGTGGGCGCTCATGGGCTCGCTGAAGAGCGACGCCGGCTCGGCGGCGGCGGCGTCGAGGAGGCACAGCACGAGGGCGCCGCGCGCGCGCATGGTCGCGACGGCGGCGCGGCCGGTCGGCGGGCTGGGCAGTTCCGACACCGATCTATCTCGGAGAGCTGTTCAAAGCTACGCGCTCCTGCGTCTGAGATCGCCCGATCGGGCATTTTCACTATCTCGGCAAAAAGCCACACGAGCAGTTCGGGCAGCCCCACACGAAGATGGCGCGCCGCGACGCCTACGTCGTCGCGGCCGCCGTCATCGCCGTGCTGTGCATCTCGTCCCTGCGCCTGTCCACGTCCCGCAGCCGCGCGGCGCCGCCGCCCGTGGCGCACGCGGCGGCGCTCACGGAGCTGGGCCTCGTCGCCGAGCGCCTCGCGACGACGGCCGCGCGCCAGGAAAAGACGCTGGCGTCGCTGGCGTCGTCGGCGTCGGCGACGCGGAGCGCCGTGGCGGCCTTCGAGCGGGGCGACGTCGCCGACGGGGCGGCGGCCGCGCGCGCGGCGCCGAGGAGCGCGCGGCCGCGCGCGGCGCCGCGGAGCGCGCCGTCGCCGAGGCGCTGGCCCGGGCGCCGTCCGCCGCGGCGCCCGCGGCGGACGGCGCCACCGTCGACGGCGCGCGCGCGCCGTTCGTGTTCGTCGCGGGCCTCGAGGGCACGGGCCACCACTGGTACAAGTCGCTCTTCGAGCAGTGCGGCCGCCGCTGCCGGCCGTCGCTCGTCGGGCCCCTCGCCTGGCAGCGCGCGGCCGCCGTCTTCAACTCGAAGATGGCCGCGGACGCGCCCGCCGCGGAGCTCGCCGCGGCCGCCGCGGCGCGCGAGGCGGGCGAGGGCCCGGGCGCGACGACGTGGATCCTCAACGCGCTGGGCGGGCGCAACGACGACGCCATGGCCGCGCTGAAGAAGCGCGCGCCGCTCGCCTGGACCGAGGGCGAGGGCATGGCGTCCTACCCGCGCGCGCCGGCGCCGCGACCGTTTTCTTCTCGGCCGAGCGTCGCTTCGCAGGAACTGGTGGGGCACGCCGACGCCGGACCACAAGGCGCTCCAGATGCCGAGCCTCGGCGCGCTCGCGGACGCGTTCCGCGACGGCGCGCCCGCGGCGGCCCAGCTCCGCGTGTCTCTCGCGACGCGAGACGCCGCGGCCATCGTGCGCTCCGTCTGCGACAAGCGCAACTTCGCCAAGTCCGTCCGCGGCCGGCGTTCCGTGTTGTTCCAACTTTTTTACGCGCGCGTTTCCAGGTCGGCGGCTGCGCGTCCGAGGTCGCGATCCTCGCGCTCGGCGCCGGCGCGCTCGCGGCCCAGGTCGACGCGCTCCCGCCGCCGCCGCTCGCGCTCTGCGACCACTTCGCCTTCGAGGACCTCGCCAAGGGCGACGCCGCCGCGCTCGCGCGCCTCGGGCCCTTCCTCGGCCTCGACGACGCCGGCGCGCTCGCGCGCCGCGTCAAGGCGCCCCACACGCCCTCCGCGCCGGGGCCCAAGGACGCCAAGGGCCAGCGCGACCGCGCGACGCTCGTCGCCCAGCTCGCGGCCGCGCAGGACTCCGCCGTCGCCGCCTGCGCGCGCCAGCGGCGGCGCGCGTAATCGCAAAAAAGGGTTATGGAAAAGACGCGCGGGGCCCGCGGCGCCGTCGCGGCGCCGCGCGGCCCCGGCGCCGGGGAAGGGGGGGGGGGAGGGCGCGCCCTAGCAGACGCGGCGCGCGTCCGGCTCGACGTCGCGCGCCGAGACGCGAGCCCTAGCAGACGCGGCACGCGTCCGGCTCGACGTCGCGCGCGGAGACGCTCGCGTCGACGACGCGGGCCTCGACGCCGCCGTCCTCGACGTCGCCGGCGTCGTCGACGACGTCGGCCGCGGTGCAGTCGCAGCGGAGCCACCAGGGGCAGAGGGACGTCGCCTCGTCGTCGTCGGCCGCCGCGGCCGCCGCGCGGTCGCGGCGGCGGCGGCGGCGGCGGCGGCGCTCCTGCTTCTTCTTCGCGCGGAGCGCGGCCGCGCGCGCCGCCGCCTGCTCGTCGACGGACGCGTCGAAAGACACGGTCCGCCTCACCGGTTCGGCCGCCTTCGCCTCCTCGTCCAGCGGCGGCGGCTCGACGGCGACCTGTGTGGAAATCAACCACTGGTTTGGGGGGTCCCCACCAAACTTCAGAACTCTCTATCTCAATCAAATCGAAGTCGATTCGGCTGATTTTTGGACGAATCGATTGCTCTCGTCGAGTTCTCGAAGCACAGCGAAAGAGTCTGGTCCAAATCGTTCGATTAAGCGCACATTGAAGTCTGGTTTCCACACAGACGGCGACGCCGCGCGGCCGCACGCGCCCGAGGTCCTTGGCCGTGAGCCGGCCTGGGCCGAAAAAGAGAGATTCAACGTCGCTTCAACGTGAGTGTTCCGCGCGCGCGCGTTCCGGAAAAAGCATCCACGCTTCGAGACCGTTCCGAGAGATGATCGCTCGTCCAAAAATCAGCCGAAACGAGTGGAAAGCGGCCGAGATATGAGCCTTTGAAGTTGGGAATTTCGCTCTCTTTTGCTGCCCAGGAGCATGCCCGAGCGGTCGACGTCGAGCTCGTCGAAGTGGGACGCGTAGAGCTCGAGCTTGGCGGCGTCGACGGCGTCCATGGCCGAGAGCATGCCGAGCAGGAACTCGGCCTTGGAGACGCCGTCGCCGTCGAGGTCGAGCGCCATGATCTCGTCGACGTCGAACGCTTCGAGCAGGCGCCGCTCCTCGAGGTCCTCGCCGCGCTCCTTCAGGGCCGCGGTCAAATTCGCGATGGCCGCGGCGACGAGGACGACGCTGCCGAGCACGTAGCACGTCATCGGGGTGTAGACGTCGCCGAGGCACGCGGTGTCGAGGTCGCCGTAGCCGATCGTCGTGATCGTCGCGAACGCCCACCAGTACGCGTCCATCCTGTCCCAGCGCGTCGCGCAGAGCTTTTCGAATGTGAGATCGCCCTCGTGCTTGCGCCGGTGCCGCTCCGTCCGAGCCAAAAGCGACTCGCCGCCGACGACGAGCGGCGTCGCCAAGAGCACCGCGGACACGACGACCTGCGGCCAGACGGGCCGGTGCGTCCGCGACGCGAGCGACGACAGCACCGTCTTGTTGAGGCCCGCGACGACGACCTCGCCGAGCTTGAGCACGACGGGCAGCAGGAACGCGACGCCGACGAACCTGAAAGGCGGGGGTCGCGGGCGCGGGTCGGCGGAAAACCCGACGCCGCGGCGCGCGCGTAGGCCATCGCGAAGCCCTTGCCCGCGTCCGTCTTCGGCGTCCAGTCGCCGTAACCGACGGTCGTGAATGTGACCGTGAGGTAATACCTACGGCGACGGGTGAGCGCACGTGCGTGGGAGACGACGCCGGTGAAGTGCGTCGTATGTTCGAGCTTGTTTCCGATGGGGTGATCCTTCTCGAGTTCACGGAGGATCAACCAACCGAAAATATAATAAGCGGCCACTTTCACGCACGTATAAGCGGCCAACGCGACGACGGGCCACCGCTTTTTGGGCGGCGCCATGGCGCACGGCGCGGGCGTGACCGTGGGGCAGGGCGACGGCGCCGCGGTTCTGGGGAGGCTCGTCGACGGGTTCGACGACGGCAACGACGACGGCGCCGAGGAAAGCGACGGCGCGAGGCTCGGCGCCGTCGAGTCCGCGTCGAGTTTTCGGACGTCGTTTTCGAATCGTCGCGCCTCCACAAACGCGATCGCCGAGTCGACGCCGACCTCCCGCTCGATGAGTGGCAGTTGTTATTAATTTCGGGTCGAGCAGCGTCGCCCCCCCCGTCGCCCTATCGATGAGCAGCGACCTCGAGAAAGCGACGAAGAAGCTCTTCAAGAGTGTTGATAAGCCGTGCACGGTCTGCGGCGTCGACTCCGCCAAGCTCCTGTGCGTTTGCTCTATCGCACGCTACTGCTCCAAAGCCTGCCAAACGGTGGATTGGAAGGAGCGCGGTCACAAAAAAGTGTGCTCTAAGATCAAAGCGGCGCGGGAAGCGGAGGCGAAGAAGCGCGCCGAGGCCCCGACGCCGCCGCCGTCGCCGCCGCGCGACGTCTTCTACGGCCCCGCGCCGCGGTCGTTCGCCGACGACGTGCGCGCGCGCATCGCCGCCGAGCACGAGGCGGCGCGGGCGCGGCGCGAGCGGAACCCGGAGCCGGAGGCGCTCGACGCGTGGGTCGACGACACGCGATGCCCGGTCTGCCTCGAGGACTGGAACGTGAATTTCAAGGCGACCTTCTTCTCCTGCTGCTACAAGCGCGTCTGCTCCGCCTGCACGCGGAAGGTGCACGCGAAGAGCGGCAAGTGCGCGCTCTGCCGCGCGCCGGCCTGTCGCGACGACGCGGAGCAGGTCGCGCGGCTGCGGCGAGGCGTCGGGCAGCAGAACGCGATGGCGATGGCCCAGCTCGCGCAAGCATTCGCGTGCGGCCACATCGGCCTGAAGAAGTCCAAGAAGAAGGCCCTCGCGCTCCTGAAGCGGGGGACGGAGCTCGGGAGCGGCATCGCGGCGATTCAGCTGGCGCGGATCGCGGGCAACCAGGCGGACTTCGTCGCGTACCACATCCTCGCCGCGCAGCGCGGCAACGCGGAGGCGCAGTTCCACACGGCCGCGATGTACATCCACGGCCGCCTCGTGCCCAAGGACGAAGATGAGGCGTTCAAGTGGATGAAGTTGGCCGCGGAGCAGGGCCACCTCGGCGCGAACTTCCAGCTCGGCGAGATGCTCAAGGACAATCGGGGCTGCACCGGGCGATTCGAGGCGTCCGAGGCCGGGGCGATCGAACGATACATGGAGGCAACGCGATACATCGAAGCAGCTGGGGCCATCTTGAAGACCTACGAGGGCGTCGACAAGCGCGACATCGTCGGCGAAGCGACGTGAGGAGCCCATCCCGCGCTCGAGCGCTCCAACTACAAAGCATAAGTCCGGCAACCCGAGCTCCGACTACGAAGTGTCGACATACGTCCCGCAACCCCCCGTAACCCCAATTCCGACCTCGAACGAAATTAAAAGAGCCCCGACTAGATGAGCCCCGCGAGCGCGAGCGCGGCGGCCGCGGCGGCGCCCGCGGCGCAGTTGACGGGCTTGAGCTCGTCGGCGAGGGCGGACCAGCTCTGGGCGCCCGAGAGCAAGGCGACGAAGGGCACGGCGCTCGTCGCCGCGTCCTTCTCCGGCGACAGCGCGCCGCCGCGGCCGCGCCGGTGCCGGTAGTCCATGTGCGCGCCGCCGAGCGCTGCGACGAGCGGGAAGCCGAGGGCGGCGACGGCCGTGCCGGCGAAGGGCGTGCGCAGCGCCGCGCCGACGCCGAGGATGCCGAGGGTCCAGAACGTCGGGTGCCGCGTGACGCGCTGCAGGCCCCGGACCTCGTCCTTCGGGCGGAGCTTCGCCGCGCGCTCGTGCTCGAGGTCCAGGGGGCAGCTGCTCAGGAAGCCCGGGTCCAGGGGGCTCCGGAGCTTGGGCGCGACGTTCGCCGCCGCCGCGAGGCCGAGCGCCTGGCAGCCGAGGCCCGCCGCGAGGCGGACCGCCGACGGCGGCCCGGCCGCGAGCCGCGGGCCCGGGCCGTGGCGGACGTAGCCGTAGGCGATGGACGCCAGCGACGCCGTGCTCAGGGCGCCGTAGCAGCCCCGGTAGCCCTGCTCGCCGACCGCGTCGATGACCGCGGCGCGGTTCTCGGACATGACCGCATTTTCGGCGATGAAGAAGCACCAGCCGCCGCCGCACCAGCGCACGGCCTTGGACGCCAGCAGGCTCATCGATGCGTGCGGCTACGGCGCGGCGCGATCGATGCGCACGGCCCGCGGGCTTCCGCAGCGGCGCGGCACAGCCTTGGAGAGCGACAGCTCAGACTGAGAGGCAAAGGTAATTTTGGTCACGTCAACTTGATGCTCAAGTAAAGCGCGAGATGGGCATGGTCCCCTTCGAGCAGCCCTGACGATGGTCCAGCTGCGATCGACGCAGCCCTAACATGGTCTAGCCGCAACCCTAAACGATGGCGACCGGCCGCCGCTTCGAGGCGCGCGCGCTCAAGGGCGCCATCGTGCGGGCGGACGTCGAGACGACGAGCGAGGAAAGGGCGCTGCTGCCCTTTGGCGCGCGCGTGCGCTGCGTCGCGACGGCGACCTCGAGCCTCGGCGTCGCTCGTGCGCTCGTCGCCCCGGACGACGGCGACGGCGACGGCGACGCACCGGACGACGGCGCGGACGACGCTGGCGGCGGCTCGGACGAGCGCGCGGGCGACGGCGACGCACCGGACGACGCGCCAGACGACGCCGCGCTCGGCTGGGTCTCGCTGAAGTGCCTCCGGGAGGCGCCGCGCCGGACGCCCTTCGTCACGCCGGCGGCGGCGCTCGCGCGCGCGGGCGACGAAAAATGCGGCTACGACCGCGCGGCCGCGCGCGTGCCGCCCGCCGCCGCCGCGGTCCTCGAGGCGCGGAACCTCGGCTGGCTCGGCCCGCTCCTCGACGCGGCGGGCCCGCAGTACGTCGTCGTCGACGGCTGGCGGGGCCGCGCCGCGGCGCTGCGGTCGGCCGCGGCCGCGGCGCTCGTCGCCGGCGGCGGCGCGGGCGCGTCCGCGAGGCCGCTCCAGCCGCGCGTCCGCGG